TTCATCTTCCAGGTAGCTCCCCACAGGTGGCTTCTGTTGGAGGAAGGGTACCTATTTTAAACCACCTGAGGGCCATTTGGGTTTGAGTCCATGTGTTCTCGTTTCCCAGGGCAACCCATGTCGGGGGTGCCTGGTTTTTGATTCCCCGGATCCATTTCCGGGGAGCTAGGGCCTAGGTGCCCGACCTCTCACCCGTTTCTTTTTTGGTTGGGAGGGCTAGCCCCTACTAAAATAGAGAAAACCGAAAGAAAAGAAGAAGAAAAAAGAAAAGGTTGGTACCAACTTATTCCAACCTGGCTGTGGTTGTCAAAACCGCTTTGGGATCCCATTTTGGGTGGGATTGGTGAATTCACCAACCATTTTAGGACCTATTTTCGTGGTTGGATTGGGATGTTCACTGTAAAGGCTTTTGACCCATGGCCTCTCAAATCTGGAGCACCCAGTCCATCTGTCGGCCCATGTTTTTGAGACCCGTCCCGGGTCCGTGGATCCGTCCGCGCACGTGGCAGGCAGTGGCGCTGCTCCCTGGCGCTGCTGGAGGAGATGGCCCAGCGCGCGGTGCCCATGCAGGGGCTCCCGGGCGAGCCGCGAGCCCGCGAGAGCCGCGAGCCGGGGAGGGCTGGATTGGGGGTCAGTCAGGGCACCCAATTTGTTTGTTGGTGGTTTAAAGGGAAAACCGCCAGGAAAGCCACACGATGTTTGCTCTTTTTGGTGGTGTAGAAGGAAAACCGCCAGGAAAACCCACGATTTTTTTGGGGGGTCCCCTTACATAAAGGTCATTCAGGGTACCCCTTGTTGGTGGGTTAGAAGGAAGACCACCAGGAAAAGTTTCCTAGGGATCTGCATTGTCCTAAGGCTTTTTGTATGGTTGCGTTTTACATGTTTGCTTATTGTGGTTTAGTGGTTGAAATCCCAACTTAACTGCAAACCTTGAAAAATTTGCTCCCCTTCCAGCGTCAACCAAGAAATTCAGGGTGCCCCTTCTTTGGTGGTTTAGAAGGAAAAAACCGCCAGACAAGCCACGT